AAGAGTTATCCATTAACGACATTAAGTTGAGTCCACAAGTCCCTTGCGTTGGGAAAGAATAAAAAAAAAAAAAAGGTTAAAAAAAACTACAATCAGGTAAAATCCAGATGTCTGACCTGTGAATTCCAAACTTTCATTAGTTCAGGGATCTGCTAAGATTTGAGCTAAATTTCTTTGCAAAAATGTAATGTACCTGTGCTCACCTGCTCAGATTCTTGCTATCAAATTGCATCACTAGAGACCCCCAATGTGTTACCGTGGTGGGCAATCACGTCTGTGAGTTCCAGCAACCTACCCCCTTTCTTATTTCTGAGAGGTGACTCCATTTTACCCTCCTAGCAGAGCCAAAAGATGGAGGTCTCATTCTACACCCCGACCTTGGCAGCCAGCGGGCAGGGCCGGGACCCACACTCAGAGAGTCACAAACTCCTGCTGTTGCATTCCCAGCAGGTGTCAAGACACAGAAGGAATTTCTAGAGTTCACTTGTGCTGACATAACCTAAAACCTGTGAGACTCGGATTTCTGTCCATTCCCCAAGCTGACTCTAGACCATCACCCTCAATATCTCTTTCTTTCGTGCAGTGGTTGAGATAGAGCTTTTCCTGCCTTCCCCACACACATATCTGAACTTCTTGCGAGCTCATCCCTGGCCTAGATGTGCGTCCGTCTCTATTGATCTATTCCTTGTAAATTCCCTGCCTAACCACACCCACTCACAGAATATTTCACTACTGTGTTCATGTTTCCTCAGACTGAATACCTGCTACATAACCTCAGATGCATTTGTTGGTCGCGTGCTGTTCTCCCATCAAGGCACAATCATTATATAGTAACAAGGGACGGTGTGACATGTCTCATCGTCATACCGCAGTAGCGAGACCGTACTTGTGCTTATTGTGGGTTTCGAGTGTTTCCCATATGCTGTTCATGTTCTCGATACATGACGTGAGTAGTTTTTTTCAGTGTTGCCTGTAAACTTGTATCTTCTACCCCTTCTCTTTTGAGTTGCTCGGGACCAGTTGAAGACTTTCCTGAGATTGCAATACGAGCTGTCATGCAAAACCGATACTGTTTGAAGCTGCTTATCTGTCAGGACATCGCTGACATAGCAGATCCTCAAAAATTCTCAAGTAAATTGGACGTTCTGCTGATAAGTCTGCCTCTGGCCTTTGTAAATCCCCGATTTCAAAAGTGGGTTCAGTTAAAACTCTTCGTTGTTCTTTGTGGTTGATGCTGTATTGTACAAACCTAAAAAAATAATAATAATAAACATATGCTAATGCAGTCAGCATGCTCTTTGATGTGTTGGGGAACCCTGTTCGAGTCAATTGGGAAGAACAAGATATCAGGGTGCTAAAAAAAGGTTCTGAAAACCGCTTCCACAGATTGCCTGAAGTTTTCCAGGGTTGCATTATTTTTAAAAGAGGTGTTATCAGATCTCGCGGCCAAGAGAACACAAAACACACAGCTTTCTTCTACCCCACGGGCTTCCAGTGGCTGATGGGAAAGGCGAAATAATTTATCTGGATTAAAGACAGTACTCTGTGTTCCGGGCACTGTGCAAAGTCCTTCATACTCAGTTCATTATATCTTCCCAACCCTCAAAATATGACACTATAGGTCCATAACTCCTTATCCTTGGGCCGGGTGTGAGAATTCCGATCTTAGAAAAATGACACAGTGACTATATTATACTGTGTAATTCAGCCCCCAGGGGGGTGTGGGCAGCTGCAACAATCAAACTCATTTGTATT